AGAGGTATCTGGGGCGTCCGATGTTAGGCAGGTTATAATGAGGCTTCATTGCATTTGTGCAGGAGTGCCGGGCATCGCTAGGTGTGGTGCTGCCCTGCCCTCCAGGCCTGCCTGCCTGCTCTCTCTGCAAACTGAAGTTTCCATGAAAATCTTTGTCTCCAGCGTGAAAGCAGCAGGGCAGAAAGAAAGACGTGAAGTTCACAAAATAGTATCTCCATCAGTTCTTCAGCATCTGCCTCAGAGGCAGTGACAAAGATTGTGTTTCATTTCAACTGGAGGGTTTGCTTTGCACCTGTTCATTTTAAAGCCCAGTAACACGAGACTGGGTTTTTGCACTTGTCATTTAATATTTACTAATGTGAGCACAACCACAAGGCTTTTCCTTTCATCTGCTTGTGTTATGTCTCCATGCCATACTTTTATCATTCCTTCCAGCTTATCACAGGCCAAAGAACTGGGTTTAAAGCCATATTTAAACATTCCCAAAGCGGTTGTAACAAAACTAGTTAATGACATTGTGGGGTCAGCCTGCAGGGAGAGGAATTAAACTATATTAATCCTATGTCTAAAAATTGTTTTGCTTGGCTGGACAGAAATTTTAAAGACAAGGTTAAGAGAGTTGTGTAGTGTGTGTGGATGGAGACCAATAAAGCTACAAGGCAGCATTGCAACAAACACAATTCAATGTATATGAAAGGTGACAAAGAGCAATGCTGCCAATTCTTGCACCTTTATTGTAAGGCTTGTGAAACTTGGTGTTTTAATTGACAGCTGCTGGAACCAAAACACTGCGTGGACATTTATGTTCTAATTATTTTTCAAGTAACCTTTTGACCTTCATGCTTGCAGAAAAAAGCTTGAAATAAGAGTACCCTTAAGGACCAAAGGCAAATCCAAATAACTTCAGATATATCAATTTTGAACATTTTCATGATTTCAAGAATTGCTCTTAGGATGTTTGGGGCCTGAGTCATGGTTGCTGAACTTCTGGAGATGCCAATATGGACACAGCAGTAAAACTGTAAAAGGGAAAAGAACAGCAGGCAGCTTGAGGAATGAAGATTGTTTGGGTACAAAAAGGTACAGAGAAATGAATGTGATGACACAGTTGTAGCTGCTGTATAAAAACAAAATCTAGTCCGAGGCAAATAGAGAGCTATCTTCCTAGGAACCCACATGTACAATCTGCAATATTTTAAGTATATACTGTAAACCAAGACTGGCCAACCTGAACCACAGGTGCCACAAGTGGCATGGGCAGCCTCTGTGGGGCAGAGCAGATCAGGGAGAGGGCAAGCAGCACAGTAAACAATAGGGCAGGAAGCCCTTTATACTTCAATTAGGACTGCTGGATAAAACCCATGGTCTTCAATATTTGTTACGTTGTGTCTTTAAAAGAAACAAAAAGCAACTCAGAAACCAGGCAGGGGTCACAGGGAAGGAAGCACAAAGCAGAGCTGCAGATGGATCAGGAGAATAGGATTGGAGTGGCACTTGGGGAGGGTGCAAGGCTAATTTGTTGTACACCTGCCAAAAGGGTTTCATAGATTCATAGATTCATAGATTCATAGATTAAGGGTCGGAAGGGACCTAGTAGATCTTCTAGCCCGACCCCCCGCCAGGGCGGGAGAACAACAAAAACCCCAAAAAGAGAAATGGGACTCAAACGAGTCCAGCTAGGTGGGCATCCAGCCTCTTCTTAAAGACCCCCAGGGTAGGGGCCAGCACCACTTCCCTTGGAAGTTGGTTCCAGCTCCTAGCCGCCCTAACGGTGAAGTAGTTTTTGCGGATGTTCA